TTCGCTGAAGCCACTTTGCATTCATTACCACCGATGTATCAGAAGCTCGTTGGTGCTTCTTATGTACTACCGCGTAGAGGTCACAAGCTGTTCGCGCGCCCTAGTGTGTCTAAAAACGAATGACTCTTCGAAGACCAGGTTTCGTAAATACCATAAATATATAAATCATTAGCGAGAGCTGACGGCACTCACTTGCCTCTTTATTACCAGTGAGTTAGTCAAACAAAAGGCTCGCTACTGACATTGCTGCTTCTTGTGTAGATTTGCTGCGGAAATCCAATGTTCAGCATGATTTCTAAAATTTTATGTAGGCCACAGCATGGAAAGTCTTGTGTATTTGACGAACATGAGGATGGTAGTTGATTGGATTATCAGAGTTTCTCCATGATTTTAGCGTCATATTCACGATCTATTCCATCGTGTCTCTGCTGCCTACGAATCCGACTAATTGTGTGCGACTTCCGTCTCCACTTAATCGTGCATTTTATCACAGATGATTAATGACAAGTTTCTATGAACATGGGAGACTCGAGAAATTGTTACATAGTCAGAGCGGTTAGTCAGGCCACCTTTCTTTGGCAAAAGGATGAACACGGAGTGCTTCCCGTCATCATGCCAATGCTACACATCCAAGCAGATGCTTTGAAGTGTTGCTATCGTTGTATCTTCGTCAGCTTTCAATAACTTTACCTGAATGCCATATTCCCTGCCGTATTATTTATCTGTCATTCGCGTATTCTTATATTATTGTCGATGGCGTTTCCCTGCGCCGTTTTCTTTCCATTTCTCTTCGTTCTGCTATCTACTCTTCTTTTCTCTTTACTATTAATCGTGAAAAGTGGTAATTTGCGTCATTTATTTTAGCATTATATTCTTGATTTACTTCAAATCAAGCCGATACATTTATTCGCATGGCGCTAGCAACGCACGTAGGTTATTGTACGTGTCAGTATGGCGTCTTTGATAGTCATGCCAACACGCCCATAGTGGCTAAGTGAATCGCTCTTACGCTTTTCCGCTGTGAGCTTAGATTTCATAGTTCGTGATATATTCCACTGTTTGCATCTCGTTACATTCTGGACATGATGGCTCCCCTTTCCTTTGCATATGCGAATGTATTCATATATTTTACACTTTTTGTAGATACGATTTATGCATTCTACTCTCAAAGCAGAGTCATGTCATATATTGGTTGCCCATCAAGGAGGGTGTTGTTTTCTACATCGCGTTTAGCCAATAATTTCGTCCCTGGAGCGTTAGCATTAGCCATCGCTAAGCTGTTTGCACCGCTGCTCTAGAACTTTTTTGAGTTTTGAGTCACTCGTTTTAAATAGTCATGTACCTCAAGTTTGGGTTTCTGCAGCCCCGTAGCCGTGTTTAGGCATAGTACTGTCTTCCACTGATGCTAATTGGCACTAACAGCAACGGTATCGCACAATACGGATTAAGCTTTATTGATTACTGGTGGAGATAAACTGGTTCTAATACCACCAAAACGGCTTTGACGGCTATACAATGGCCATAGTAAACGTTTTCTGCCCTGTCAATGTTCCTCTACCTCACCGAGTTTCAACTTCAGGTTGAATTTAAAAAATTGTATCGGGCACTGTCTGTGGTACGCCAGCTGCCCTGTGTTTTATTCATTGTTAATTAACGCAATTAGCTTCTTTT